GGAATCTTACTCTGTCACCCAGACTAGAGTACAGTGTTGCGATCTCGGCTCACTGCAACCTCTGCCTCCTGGGTTCAGGCAATTCTCCTGCTTCAGCCTCCCGAGTAGCTGGGAGTACAGGCATGTGCCACCATGCCCAGCTAATTTTTGTATTTTTAGTAGAGACAGGGTTTTGCCATGTTGGCTAGGCTGGTCTCGAACTCCTGACCTCAGGTGATTCACCCGCCTCGGCCTCTCAAAGTGCTGGGATTTACAGGTGTGAGCCACCATGCCTGGCCGTAATTTTAAAAATTTTTTGTAGCGATGAAGTCTTGCCATGTGTTCCCAGGCTGGTTTCAAACTCCTGGGCTCAAGCAATCCTCCCACCTTGGACTCCCTAAGTGCTGGGGTTACAGGTGTGAGCCACCATGCCTGGCTTCCCTTAACATTTAAGCATGCCCCTTACATACGTATGTATTTATTTATTTATACATATCTGTCTCTCCTTTATTAGCAGCTTACCTTTTTTAAAATTTTGAGATGGAGTCTCACTCTTGCCCAAACTGGAGTGCAATGGGGTGATCTTGGCTCACTGCAACCTCTGCTTCCTGGGTTCAAGCAGTTCTCCCACCTGAGCCTCCGGAGTAGCTGGAATTACAGGTTTGTGCCACCACAGCTGGCTAAGCATGCCATTCATAATTCTGCTCCACTTTCACTTCCTGCTTGCACTGAATGTATAGACGGCCAGTGGTCTTCTCAGAGCATCCATCCTGTCCTGGACATGCGTGTATGCAGCTTTGTCAAATTCCCTAGTATACAGAAGTGGGTTTTTTTCCAGTCTCACTCTGCCACCCAGGCTGGAGTGCAGTGGTGTGATCTCGGCTCACTGCAACCTCTGCCTCCTGGGTTCAAGCGACTCTCCTGCCTCAGCCGCCCAAGTAGCTGGCATTATAGGCACGCGCCACCATGCCTGGCTAATTTTTGTATTTTTAGTACAGACGGGGTTTCACTATGTTGGCCAGGCTGGTCTTGAACTCCTGACCTCAGGTGATCTGCCTGCCTCGGCCTCCCAAAATGCCGGGATTACAGACTTATGTTTTTATTGTATTTTTAACATTTTTAACATTTATATATTTCTGTAATATATATTTTTATTGTATCATTTATAATATTTTTGTATTCATATTGTAGTTGTCACATCTGTTAGTTTTTTAGAGTGCAACTTACTACTGAACATGTTTCAAAAGAAGTTTAGTGAGAAAGACAAAAGCTCATGTCCTCAACAGACCCCTTAGATTCTTCTTTCCTTCTCTTTTCTTCTCCTGAGCTCAGGCAGATGTGGTGGAAGAGACAGGACCTCCTGCTGGGGCAGCACCCACCGCTGGAACAGGCTCAACAGTTCCCACACCGCCAGTGAGGTTCCTGATGGTGACACTGGCCAGGCTAGAAAGGTTTGACATTTACACTAGCTGCTTCAGTGAGGGCATTGATCCTGTCCTCTGTGACAGTCACTTCACTGTCAGGCAGGATGAGGGCTGCGTAGACGCAGGTAAGCTTGGATAGAGACCAAGATACGGGCTTGCGGGGCTGCTGGCTGCTGGCTGTGGTGCTAAGTGCGGGATGAAATGAGGGCCTCACCCCAGGACAGCCTCGGCTTCCCTGCTCCCCACTTTAGCAGCAGCTGAGGAAATTCGTATCTATTACCATAACTGGGACCCTTTTTTTTTGAGACGGAGTTTTGCTCTTGCTGTCCACGCTGGAGTACAATGGCACCATCTCGGCTCACCGCAACCTCTGCCTCCCAGGTTCAAGCGATTCTCCTGCCTCAGCTTCCCGAGTCTAGCTGAGATTACAGGTGCACATCACCACACCCAGCTCATTTTTGTATTTTTACTAGAGATGGGGTTTCACCTGGCTGGTCAGGCTGGTCTTGAACTCCTGACCTCATGTGATCCACCCGCCTTGGCCTCCCAAAGTGCTGGGATTACAGGCGTGAACCACCATGCCTGGCCCTGGATCTTTTTTACTTCTCTGCTAAAATTTTTTTCACTGTATGGAGGGTGTTATATAAAAACTGTTATAATAATGGCCTTATCTGCTAATTCTAGCATCTGTTTTAGCTCTGGAACAATTTCCATTGATTGCTTTTTTTTTCATTACAGGCCATATTTTTCTGCTTCTTTAAATGCCTGGCAGTCTTTGACTGGATGCCACAATGTGAGTTCTACCTTACTGAGTGCTTGATACTGAGTGCTTGATATTGTATTCCTGTGAATATTCTTCAGCTTTTTTTCTGGGATGCAATTACATTACTTGGCAGCAGTCTGATTCTTTCAGGTCTTGCCTTTATGATTTCTTAGGTGGGACCTGGGAAACATTCAGGGCAGGGATAATTATTCCCCATGACTGAGGCAAGACCTTTCTGAGTACTCCATCCAATGTCTTGTGATTGTCAGTTTGGAAAAGTTGAGGAAAGCAAGTACTATTTCCAGTCCCGTGTAAGCAGAGTAATCTTTCTGGATGTTTTTTCCCCAGACTCTAGGAAATGTACTGACAGTACTCTCCTGACCACTCAAGGAAGACCCTCTGCAGACCTCTGGACTTCCTTCTGCTATTCTGTGCCTTCTAGTCCTCTGGCTGCCCCTGTCCCTGGCTTTTTAGCCAGAGAGAATCTTTTTTTTTTTTTTTTTTTT